CTTTGATAAAACATAGTTAAGATCCAGAGAACAAATGAAAGGGGCTTGCTTTTACAGAGGAATGAAAAAGTTGGGAGGGGTGGTTTTGAATGAAAATTTATTGGAGGAGAGCCAGAGTTCAGGGTTGTGGCTACTTCTCAGTGGTTTAGATGTAGCAGTTTCTCATTGGCTGGGTTGTTGCTGGGCAAAGAGAAAAATCTTCATTCCTCTAGTTGAGGTAGTAAAGTAAGCTGTATATAAAATAAGCTGTAATGCAACGCATATGCATGAAAGCTTCTCTCTTCAGGGCAGCCTGACTCTATTTTGAATGAGGCTTTCTTTTATTCATCTCCAGATTTCCCCCCTTTGCTCAAGATATTTCCTCCAAAGCATCACTGATCAAGAGTCAGTTTTTCTGCATTTAGTGATTTTGTCCCTTGATACCAGGAAGGACCTTTCCTGGTTGTCATGTCCCATGCCAGAGGGAAAGTGCACAGGTTAGACAACATTTAGGTCACATTTGAATAACAAGGAAGGGTAGGAGGGAGAACTCTCAGGCATTTCCCATCTAAAGTTTATATCTTACCAGGGTCATAAATAACCATTGGAGATCATCTTGAAGTGTTGAGTTAGCATCACCCTATTGGGCATGTTGCTTCTACAAAGGTTTGACAAGTAATGGGTACAAAGCTTAAAAATAATTATACAAAACAGATTTAAAAGTAATGCGACAAATCCAGTTTGTGAGATGGTTTTAAACCAGGAACCCCAACCTAAAGGTAACCAGAAGCCTAAGGACCATGGATCATTACATGAAATTTATTGTAGCCAAAGTGCTTATTCCCTAATTTTAGGCAGTTGGGCACATACTTCCCCAGAAGAATTTATCCATATGCAACAGATTGTCTATTCAAACCCCTCCTGGTTCAGCACAGAGAGATCGAGGGCTATTCAATTATCCAAAACTACTTTAGGCAGCAAGCCACGTGACTGTGTTTGAGCTCCTATTGTCTTGGCTGTGGTTGGTTAACTATCCCAATATTAAGGACTGATTTCTGATCATGTGTTCATTGGTACTTACTCTGGCCCAAGGGAGAAAGTCTCTCCCTACAGCAAACACAGAGTTCTGAATGCCTCCTGGGCATCTTCCATTTAAGACAGCCATGGAGGCTTAGTGGAGTGGACCAGTGGTAGGCTTCTGGTTTGTTATGAAGAGAAAATAGAACAGTAAATACAGGAAGAACACGTTGCCCTTTCATCCTCCAGCCATCACAACAGTGAGCTGCCCAAATATAGGGCCACTGCCAAAACCTGCTCATATAGAGGAGTAGCCAAGTGGTGTACATAGGGCTCCCTCATAAGCATTAGCATTTACGGACTCTCGTTGGTAATGGAGGCATTAGCTATTCAGCCAAAACTCAAACACTGTTATTATTACATATTGAAAGACCACCCTAATACAGGGGTTTGATAGCAAGCCTACAAGTAGTCTGGTTTATGCTGAATGCTCTGAAGTATCTTTTATATATTTTTTAATGGATCTCAGTCTCCCACCTCAGGGTTGGGTTAAATTGAGGCAAGGAATGGGGGTATATAGAGTTAGTAGTCTAACTTTATAAAGGGGACTGGTGGAACAATTGGGCATACAGTGGCATCTGGGATTTCAGCAAAATTCATTATAGGTTGAACTAAGGAGTCAATGCTGTAATGGACAGATTTGAGTTTTCTGATGGCAAATCTAACAATTGGAGCAGTTTCCCCCTTTTACATGGGATTAGGAAATGCAAAGAATGAAAGAAAGAATGAAGAAAGAGAGAATGAGCAAGGGAAAGAAGGTTTTAGGCCTGATCTGGTTATTTTAGGAAAGCTGTCTCCTTCAGCTGCCATCTGCTTCAACTCTGGGAAATCTTTACTTTCAGGTCACAAGTTGATGTGTAGGCCCGGTTGGGGTTTGGTGCATTCTTTGGATGTGACACACGGATCCAAGATATTATTCCCTGAAGTTTGGCAGCACTGAGGTTGGTTAACAGCCCCCTGCTAGGGGTCCTTGCAGCGAAGTTGAAGAGAGTCTAGCCTGTCTTTTCCAAGAGACAAAACCTTTGGGTTATAAGGAGTGATGCCTGAGGTGTTCATCTCTTGGAAGTGTACTATGGAAAGACTGTCCTACTATAGCTCGGTTATTTTCAAAAGAAGCAATTAGGTCTTTACACTATTGAAGTATATCTTCCTTTAATCAGCTGTATATCAAGGGAAACAGGAGCCAGGTGCATAGGGTGCCTTGAGACTATCTCAAAGGGTGCAAGTGTATGGGTTCCAGAAGCTGTGGACCTGAGTCTTAGAAGGACTGAAGGCATTGCTTTTGGCCACAGGGTATTTGAAGAGTCTCTATAAATTTTGCCAACTGAGTCTTAATGATGCTATTAGTACATTTAACTAGACATGAGGATTGAGGGTGGGAAGCACCAAGTGTTATACAAGTGTCCAAGTAGCACAGACCATCTAATGCACTTGAACAATGAAGTGAGTTACCGAGCCACTGTGACGTTTGGGGTGGGGGTCCCTAGGTAGTGATAATCTTTTCTAATAGGATTTTAGCCACAGAAGAGGCAGTAACCTTCCTAAAAGGAAGAGCTTTGGTACAGTAAGAAAACATACAAACCATGACTAAAACATAATTTTATCCCTGAGGTGGAAAAAGCTGAATGAAATCCACTTGCCAAACCTCGAATGGTCCACTGGGGAATTTAAAGTGTCCAGCAGCAGATGTATTTTGTATTTCTCTAGGTTGTATTTGGGGCAGGTGGAGCAAGCAAAATAGGCACTTTTTCCAGCTACATTGGTATTTCCCCACTAGGATGGGTTCATAAAATTTTTATCAGTGGACCAATGATTCAATGCATGTACAGTAGTCAGTAATGGGGATTTTAAGGCCTCTGGTATGACTGGATTTCTATTGGGCCAAACCAAAGTTCTCTTTTTATTGAACCAATAGTTTAATTGGATTTCTAATTTTGTTTTCCCTTTTCTGGGGCCAATTGCTGAGCATCTCTAGCCAATTTTTCTAGATTATCATTGGGGGGAACATCCTTTTGGACCATGACTGACACCTGATTCTCTTGAGAGCAGTGTTCTGTTTTTATTTATTTTATGTTAATTTATTTTTGAGAGAGAGAGCGAGTGTGAGTGGGGGAGGGTCAGAGAGAGAGGGAGACAGAGGATCTGAAGCTGGCTTTGTGCTGACAGCAGCGCACCTGATGTGGGGCTTGAGCTCACAAACTGCGGGATCATGACCTGAGCTGAAGTCAGACGCTTAACCAGCTGAGTCACCCAGAAGCCTCTAGAGCACCGTCCTTGGTGGAAACATCTCCTGAAAACACTACTACACTACATGTTAACTAACTTAGATTTAAATAAAAACTGTTTTTAAAAAAGGAAGAAGAAGTTTCGGTAAAACCCTGGGTCATTACTGTCCAGGTGTATTGTTGTCCTTCCCAAAGAAAGGCAGAGATATTATTACCTGGCCTTATGTGCTGGGATGCTAAAGAAGGCACTACATAAATCAACTACAGTAAAAAAAACAAAAAACAAACAAACAAAAAACAACACCTTCAGCAGGGATGGAGCTAATACAGTATGGGGATTGGGAACAGGGTGGTGATGGATAGCAACACTATTTATGGCTCAGAGATCCTGGACAAACCTCCATCTGCAGCCATTCAGTAGCATGAATGAGTCGGGAGTCTATCCAAGTGATGGCAAAGTCCACTGGCACCATAAAGTAAAAGGAAACTAATGGCTAAGAGAAACCCCAGTTATTACTTAGATTCAAGTCAAAGAAACACTTTTCCATTGATTCTTACAGAAAGAGCACTCTGTACCATGAAAACTATTTAGGAACAGACATCTTAAACTGAAACACTTAGAGGAGTTTAACAGGAATGCGTATTAAAAATGTTCCTCACTAGGAAAACTTCTCTGACTACATCCTCAGAAGTTGAGTGAGTTGATTTTTGTAAATGATCAAAAAGTCACTTTGGCTAATGGTGGAGGTGGAGGTGGAGGTGGAGGTTTGACTGCAAAAGGGCACAAGGGGACTCTCTGGAGTAATGAAAATATTCTGTATCTTGATTATGGTTACCTAGATATATATATTTATTAAAACTCACTGAATAGCACACCAAATGAGTATATTTCACTACATGTAAATTGTATCTCATTTGAAAACAAAAACAAAAACTCTCAGACCAAGTCTAAGTAATTATCGCCAGATAGATAGGCATGAATTTAAAAATTTTGATATATAGAATTCTTATATATGGTGATTCAAATTCTTTTCAAAACTGACATTAATTTAGTCAACAAAAATTCGGTTAGTTTTTCTTTGCTTTTATTTACTATCAGGATGCAAAACTTTTAAACTGCTACCAAATAAATGATGAATTTAAATTAACTTAATCCTGTGGCACCTGGGTCGTTCAGTCCTTGGAGTATCTATCCGACTTTGGCTCACACTTGGGTTCATGAGTTCAAACCCCATATGTCTGCTCAGAGACTGCTTGAGCTCCTCTGCCCCCCTTCGCTATGCCCTCCCCCGCTTGCCTTTTCTCAAAAAAAAAAAAAAAATTAAAAAATTATTTTAAAAAATAAAAATAAAATTCATCCTTACAAACACCATAAGAAACAGATGCTATTTTTTTTCCTGTTTTATGTGATGGGCTCCGAACACCGACAAAAGCCTTGCTTTGCCCTCCATACCGTTTCTCCAGTATTTGGTCACACACTAGCTGGCCAGAACCCAGAAGAGCTGGTCAGAGGAAACGCCGAGGTGTCAACAAGGGGCTACAAGTGAGTTATGAACACTCAGCTTAGTGGCCGGTTCCCTGAGCCCTGACGTTCCGAAATGCCAGGCGCAGCCCAGCCCTGTCCCCAGCCCAGGAAGCCGGTGACGCAGGTGCCGTTCCGCCTTCTGCTCGGGCGCAGAAGGCCACACACAGCGCTGCGGCGAAGGCGAAGAGGCCTAGCCCATGGTGTTTTGAACCTGGGCACGGTTCCCTAACACGGCTGCGCGCCTGCGCGGCTCTGCCCCTGAGCTGCGCGCAACGCCCGAGGTGGGCCGTGAGCCACGACGCACCGGTTGCAGCCCGGCCTCTCCGCGCTCCCTGAGCTCTCGGCGCCCCGCCCCGCCTGGTCCTGCGCGAGTTTCAGTATCCGGCGATCGGGTAGGTACTCCTCGCCGTCGTCCTCCCGCGCCTCAGCGGGCGCATTCCTCCCGGCAGGCCTGCCTGCTGGGTCCTCCCCCTCGTCCTCCTCGCCAGCGTCCCCGCGGGGACCCGCAAGTCCTGCCCCGCGTTTCCCGAGCTCGCGCCTGTTTGGCGGTGAGCAGGTGCCCACCCCGCCCACCTGCCTCGGCGTTTCTCACCCCCCTCCCCACCAAAATAAATCAAATCAAATTAAATTAAATTAAATTAAATTAAATTAAATTAAATTAAATTAAATTAAATTATTGAAGACTGCTAGGAAGAAACTGCACAGACCTTAGTTTTGAAGTTTTGAATTTACTTGAATTTATAATTTGGGGCAAAGAATGTAAATGGTAGAAGAGGACTTTAAGGAGTAACTGTGTTGTGAAAGCAGGAGGCTGAGTAGTACATGTAAAGGTTAAAAAAGAATTTCCAAGGAAATTCTTACAACGCACAAAAACACACATTCGGGTGGAGCCAGAAGGAATTGCAGAAAAGAAGCTGAGAGCATACCAGGGGATATAAGTTGGTCCTCAAAAGCCAGCTAAGCTTAGTCTCTGAAGGTCTCAGTACACGAAAGGAGCCCCCACTCTCTTATTTACAGATGGGAAAATTGAGGTCCAGAGTGGGTGGTTTGTCCACAGTGATGCGCCTGATTCTTGCCAGAGCCAGGAGCCTGAACTCCATTTCCTAGGCATCATTTATAAATAATAAAATATGTAAATAACGTTTTACAAATATCCTATGTGAGTCGAGAAACTCAGCAAGATCAATCCCTTCTCTTTTTTAAAAAAATTTTTACAGTTTATTTATTGTTGAGACAGAGAGAGACAGAGCATGAAGGGTGGGGAAGAGAGAGAGGGAGACACAGAATCCGAAACAGGCTCCAGGCTCTGAGCTGCCAGCACAGAACCTGACACGGGCCTCGAACCCACGAACTGCGAGATCATGACCTGAGCCACCCAGGCGCCTCTTGTGGATACTTTTTTGATCAATCCCTTCAATCCATCTTTATCATTTACTCTTCTCCAGGTGCTTGCCATCCTGCATTCTCTGGCCCACAGCAGTGCTGCTGGAAAGGGATTCCTGGAAGCCCTTGGACTTGAACTTAACCCTAAGTAAATAGGACTTAGGTAAGTGGATGGGAGGAAGGGTGTGGTGGGAGGTTCCAGGAAAGACCTTGAGCTGAGGGGAAAGTTAGCAAACCTAACTGCAGCTAGGCATATATAAAAATGCCTGGCCTATGAGAGTAAAGTAGGTGGATAGAGTTGGAGCAGATGGTGGAGGGCTTTGAACATGACTGCTACGGGAGATAGGACACAACTAGAAATTGGAAATGCAACAACAGGGAAACCAGCACTTCACCAGGGATTAGATTCATGGAGGGAATATTAGCTGAGATCCCAAGACTGTATAAATCAAATCATTTAGCAGGAAAACATTGCTGTTGAAAGGAACGCTGTGAGGAGAAAGTATTCTAGTTGAGTAACAGAAAAATCTTTCCCCTGGTTGCGTACAAATAAAAATGGTGCTTACCATCTGCTAAATACTGTTGTAGGTGCTCTACAAAAATTAATTTATTTACTTCTCACAGTAAACCAGTGAGGTTGTCACTATTTTTGTCACCATTTTAGAGATGTGGAGGTTGAGGCACAAAAAGGTTGCCCAGGGTAAGTAGATCTGTGTTGAGGAGGAGTGGCCTGGAACCAGAAGATTTGGGTCTCTGTGCCTCCATTCACTGGTTGTGTCAGTTTACCCTCTCCGAGGTTCAGTTTTCTTATCTGTGAAATGCATACACTAATCCCTGCCTACTACTGAGGTAGAGAATATGCAGGTGCTTTGCAAACTGTGCATGGTGATGCCAATGGAAAGTACTATTATTTAATAAAGGAGGGATGCACTTCCAGGGCCAAATCCCAACTAAAAAGAGAAAATGACAAGCTTGGTTCGACTTGCAGAATTTAACAGGCTTGCCACTCACAGAGAGGCAAAAATAGAATCATAGTTAAAATCGTTGGCTGTGGCGTCAGATGGACATAAGCTGGAATCCCAGCCCTGCCACTTATTAGCTCTGTGATCTATGACAAGGCACATGATGTTTCTGATACTGTGTTATCTTGGTATTCTTCAATTTACTCATGTATAAAATGGGTCTAATACATTCTTCATAGAGCAGTTCTGAGGATTACCTGAGATGCACTTAATGCAATGCCTACATGTAGTCAGTGCTCAATACAGTGTAGAAGGGCACGCTATTTTTTCCGAATCTTCTTTTCCTCATCCTCTGTGTGTTTAATATTCCCCCAGACACAGCCTTATCATGTGTGAGGGACTGATGGAGAGGTATGTGGCTGCCATGGTGCTGAGCGCAGCTGGAGATGCCTTGGGGTACTTCAACGGAAAATGGGAGTTTCTCCGGGAAGGAGAAAAGATTCACCAGCAGCTGGCCCAGCGTGGTGGGTTGGATGCCATAGATGTGGAGAGGTGGAGAGTCAGCGATGATACAGTGATGCACCTGGCCACGGCAGAAGCTCTTGTGGAAGCCGGGAAAGTCTTGGATTTGGCTCAACTATATTCCTTACTTGCTAAGCATTACCAAGCCTGCATGGGAGACATGGATGGCCGAGCACCAGGTGAGTGCAGCCACTGGAGGTCCTGGGCAGAGTGGAGAATAAAGCAGCCCCAAGGCTCTTATTAAAAATGTTTAAATATCAAGGAGACAGTTCTGTTTAGTAGTTGTGATAAAAATAGAAACAACATAGGTGTTCTTTAATTTATTTAACTCTGGTGACACATTCACAGCCTTTTAAAATTATGCAGATAAATGTTTACTGATATGGAAAGATATATTAAGGTAAAAAAAAAAGAGAGAGAGAGAATTACAAAGCACATGTGCATCCATTGCTCCTTTTCCGAGCCTGATGCTTCTCACTCTAGAATATGCAGCTTCTTTCTGGCACTCAGGATCTCATCCTCAGGTTCTCATTGGGTCCTTTAAAGACTTGGGCTTGGGGCACCTGGGTGGCTCAGTCAGTTAGGCATCCGACTTCAGCTCAGGTCATGATCTCACACTCTGTGAGTTTGAGCTCCACATCAGGTTCTGAGCGGACAGCTCAGAACCTGGAGCCTGCTTCAGATTCTGTCTCCCTCTCTCTCTCTCTGCCCCACCTCAGCTCTCTCTCTCTCAAATAAACAAACATTAAGAAAAAATAAAGTTTTGGGCTTGAGGTTGGATGGTTTTGATGGGGCCACTAATTAGCTGGTTATGTGATTTTGAGTAAGGTTTTTAAGCTCTAAGCCTGAGCTTATTCATTCATTTTTTTTAAAATGTTAATTTATATTGAGAGAGAGAGAGAGAAAGAGAGCACGCACACATGTGCAAGCTGAGGAAGAGCAGAGAGGATCCCAAGCAGGCCCCGCACTGGCAGAGCAGAGCCCGACACGGGGCTCAGCATCACAAACCATGAGATCATGGCCTGAGCTGAAATCAAGAGTCAGACGCTTAACCACATGAGCCACCCAGGCAACCCCTTAGCTTATTCATTTAAAAAAGAGAATAATATGTTAAACCTACCTTTTTGAGTTACTGTGATGTCTCAGTAATAACTGCTAAAGATTCTAAGACTCTCTATATGAATCTGATTCTTTCATGCTAAGGGTTATATAGTAATCTTATATGCTAAGGGTTATATAGAGAGCAAGGAACAGTGTTGACTTACGGTTTGGAGTTTGAGGGCATTCATCATCATATTCTTTTGCCTTTCCCTTTCCATCAAAGAATCCTGGAGACTGATCTTGGTTCTGTCTTCCTGCCAGGGCCTGTGCTTTGGTTCCACTGACCCTCGCCTCTCCCTGCTTCTTCCCAGGAGGTGCTTCAGTGCAGAATGCCATGCGGCTGGAGCCAGATAAGGCCAATGGCTGGAGGATTCCCTTTAACAACCACGAGGGTGGCTGCGGGGCTGCCATGCGTGCCATGTGCATTGGCCTCAGGTTCCCTCACCGCAGACAACTGAACACGCTGATCCAAGTGAGCATCGAGAGTGGCAGGATGACCCACCACCACCCTACAGGCTACCTGGGAGCTCTCGTTTCTGCTCTTTTTACAGCCTATGCTGTGAACAACAAGCCTCCAAGGCAATGGGGAAAAGAAATGATGGAGGTGCTACCAGAAGCTAAAAAGTACATTATCCAATCAGGCTACTTTTTGGAGAAGAATCTTCAACACTGGTAAGTTGGTAGGTGCCTGCTTCTGCTACAAAGTGATTGAATCTGTGTGTGCACAGGCGTGCACATGTGTATCTAGAATTTTTTGATCAAAGCACCATCATGGTTCTCACCATCTATTTTTCCTGTCTGCTATGTCCAACACCCCCTACTCCAGCCTACCTGCTAAGGATTTCAAGTTCAGTGCCAGCAGTGGTTGCCACCAAGTAGCCAAGGGAAGTCCTCAATGAGTAGTACACCTATGGTGCTTCCCTGTTGTATAGGGATCCTATTTTGTATTCTAGCTTTCTGTAGTTTTTGGGGCTATCCTATACTGCTGTGAACTTTCCTGCTTATTTCCTAGAACTTGTTTATTCAGTATTGTCTGGACACACAATATTTTGAAATCTTTGGTTAGAGTGCCCAAGAGATAGGTTTTTTTTCACCAGCTAATTAATAAGGGGTAAAGCCGCAATTTCCCTTTTTCATGAGTTCACGTCACATTATCTTTCTTAATAAAAAGATCCAGAAGCTTTCTGCAGGAATCACGTATTGGTCATGATGTTCTGAAGTTCTATCTTAAAAAAAAAAACACAATAGAAGTATACAAGGAAATGATGTATTAATTAGTTTAACTATAGTAATCTTTTCACTGTGTATTGTATACTAAATCATCATGTTGTATACATTAAATATATACAAGATTTTTAAAAATTCTTTTAACATTTTTTTCATTTTTTGAGAGAGAGATAGAGTATGAGTGGGGGAGAGGTAGAGAGAGGGGGACACAGAATTCAAAGCAGTCTCCAGACTCTGTGTTGTCAGCACAGAGCCCAGTGTGGGGCTTGAACCCACGAGTGGTGAGATCATGACCTGAACCGAAGACGGACACTTAACCGACTGAGCCACCCAGGTGCCCCCACAAGATTTCTTAAGAAGATAAAGTAAAATAAATAAGTTCCACCCTTGAAAAGTGACACTTGACATTATTCTCAATTCAGGAAAAATAGACTTTTATTTCTCACCTTTAACTTGCTATGTATCTTCTTTATTTAGCAACAGCTATCAATGCCTTGTTTATATTAATCCTTGGCAAAAATTTATTGAATGAATGCCACTTAGAACTCATTTTTATTTTTAAAAAATGTTTCTTTATTTTGAGAGAGAGAGAGAGAGAGGAGAGAGAGTGGGGAGAAGGGACAGAGAGAGAGAGAATTCTGATGTGGGACTCAGTCTCACGAACTATGAGATCATGACCTGAGCCAAAATCAAGAGCTAGATGCTCAACTGACTGAGCAAGGTGCCCCTCATTTTGATCTTTTTAAACATTTTTTAAAAAAGTTTATCTATTTCTTTTGAGAGAGAGAGAGAAGGAGTGAGAGAATCCCAAGAAGGCTCAACACCATTAGTGCAGAGCCCAAGTGGAGCCTGAACTCACGGAACCATAAGATCATGACCTGAGCCAAAACCAAGAGTCAGACGCTTAACCAACTGAGCCACCCAGGCATCCCTCATATTGATTATTTAATACAATTTTGATATTAGTACAAGAAGTTTAAGTCATCTTGGAATTTTCCCTGTTCACACATCTGTCTGCTACCTTTCCTTATTGGCTTCAAATGTATTGTTTCAATTTGACTGTAGAATTTTTCCTTCTTACAGGTCCTACTTCCAAGACCAGTGGGAAAAATACCTAAAACTTAGAGGGATTTTGGATGGCAAATCAGCCCCTACCTTCCCCAAGCCCTTTGATGTGAAGGAGAGGGATCAGTTCTACACCTCCGTGAGCTACTCTGGCTGGGGTGGCAGCAGTGGACACGATGCCCCCATGATTGCCTATGATGCCATCCTGGCTGCAGGAGACTCCTGGAAGGAGCTTGCCCATCGAGCCTTTTTCCATGGTGGAGACAGTGATTCTACAGCTGCTATTGCTGGCTGCTGGTGGGGAGTTATGTATGGTTTTAAGGGAGTCAGTCCCTCCAACTATGAGAAACTAGAATATAGAAACCGGCTGGAAGAGACAGCCAGGGCTTTGTATTCTCTTGGGTCAGAGGAGGATACTGTAATTGCCCTTTAGAGAGATGTGACATCATTTCTTGTGGTTTTTCCTCTTGAGTAGTCCAGTTTATTTTCACTTTTTCCAAAGTCAAGAGTTTTAACCTTGTACTCCAGGAATTTTGAGATAACACGTCCCTTGAGCAACTGAAGCTCGTCTTTCCAAATTCATGCTGTTCCCTCTGACTCTGTCCCTCTCTGTCCTGAAGAATCTTTATCTCAGTTGATGGAAGTCAGCATCTCCCCAGGCTAGAAGTCTTATAGCCCCATATTTGAGTCTTTGTTTTCATCATCTGATCTTTCACTAAGTTTTTTTCTGTTTGTTTCAGGTGGAGTTCCCCAAAATGGACACTTAGACAAAGATTTAAGAACAATTAGTTTATTTAGGAAGTGATTCCAGAAAGCCCTGGTAGGAAAATGGGGAAGTGAGACCGGGAAGGGAGGGAAGATAGCACAAGGTGCGATACTGAGCAGGTTAGCACTCTGGGCAGTTGGGACTATTCCATCTAGGTACTCTGTAAAGCACCCCTCAGAGTTGTCCCACCTGAGGGGCAAGCAAACCTGGGGTGTTCATCCATCACCTTCCATTTGGCATTGGTTGAGGACCACTCCTAGGGATGCTAACTCCCTGGTACTTCTTGGCCCACCTCTTGTGCAAGCCTGGCACAGACGTCTTCAGGCAAAGACTCAGAGGCTCTTGCGATGACAGGCTGTACAGTGCATGGGAACAGTGAGGGTGCTATGTGGGGTCCCAGTAATAGCATCTGCCAGATGGTCTACCTCCAAAATGTCCTTCACATCTGACTCTTTTACTTTCTTGCACCAGTATTTTTCAGTGAATTTCTGCAGTCCAGGTTACTCGCATCTGGGGAGATGCTGCTCCAAGCTGTACTCTGTGCTTTGCTGGCAGTGACACTTAACATATTTCCAGTTTTGTTGTTTTCTCTTTGCTTATCTTTATCCTCCTCTAGACATAACCTAGCACAGTGCCTGGGAACACGGGAGGTACTTGATCAGTATATATTAAATGAATGTTGTTAATTACCTCCTTTCTGGTGCCTTAACCACAGTCTTGCCTTCCTTCTTGTCCTCCAGAGTTATTGTTACAAATAACAAATCAATCATGCTGAACTTCTAATCATGTTCCAATGAATACTCACCCCCTTTCTCCATTTCTTAATGCTCTTCCCTCTCCTTTTCCACCTGGTAGATTCTTACTCCTCTTTCAAGCCCCAGCTCTGGTAGAACCTTCTAGGTGAAGCTTGCTCTGATAGTTGGAGCAGTTGGCCACTTTCTCCTCATATATGCACAGCCTTCTGTCTCTAGCCCTGTCACCACACTGGTCCTGTTGAGTGGTGATTGGAGGTGTCTTCTGAGGACAATTTCAGATTCCTTGTGAGGAATTATCTTATTCTCTTTGTGGCTTCCCTGCCTGCCCTATGAGAGACATTCAATAAATATTTACTTTGGAGGTTCATCAAGTTGTGTTGATGTGAATGCTTTCAACATGTGGTTCCACATCTGTTTCAGACACATCTGTTCAGACACGTGCTACTTCACGGTTGCCCAGAGTGACCTGTGATGCACTGTGAGAGACAGAGTCTAATGCCTTAACTATGCACGTGTGCTGACCTACATGAGACAAAGCTCTTAGCCTTGTATTTGAAGCAGAACTCTAGCAAAGGCATGGAATTTATCATTTTTTTTTTTTTTATTTCTAGGAGAGAGAGAGAGAGAGAGAGAGAGAGACAGCGTGAGCAAGGGAGGGTCAGAGAAAGAGGGAGTCACAGACTCTGAAACAGGCTCCAGGCTCTGAGCTGGCAGTCAGCACAGAGCCCGATGCGGGGCTCGAACCCACGAACCGCAAGATCATGACCCAAGCGAAAGTCGGACGCTTAACCGACTAAGCCACCCAGGCGCCCCTATCATTCTTTTATACATAAAGGGAGAAGGAAATTCCAAAGTTCATTTTCTGTCTCCAAACACTCTCATATATATTTATATATTTCAGAAAACAAACATGTTTTAAATACTACAAAAATGAAAACAGGTTCTTTGGTAAGACAACCAATTGGAGTTGCAGACTTTCAAGCGTGCTGGGCTACAATTCACAGAACAATTCATAACATCTTCAATTCAGATGTCTTAAAAGACTCCTTTGTATAAATATTCTGAGCAAAGTTTTAGAATAATAGAAAACACATAGTCTATAGATTTTTATACAGGATTCCTGAGCAGAAGGTTAAGGTGGAGACCTTCATGACTGCTTTCCGTTTCTCAGTTGGTAAGAACTGACTTTATAGCACGGAATACTGTGTGCTTTTCTGCAGTTGTAAGAAAAGAGGAAACAGTCTCCCAGTCTTTCTGAGGTTTCTTTTCCCAGTATTTAGGAGTCTAGAATAGGTGGAACACTAGAATTCTATTAGCACTGACCAAACAGCAAACTTGCTTAAATGTTACAGTATAGAGAAGAGCAGAAGCGCATTTTAACAAGTGGAATCTGAGGCATGACCTGTTTTGCCTCTGTAGCTGGCTTGGTAAATCATCTGAATTTAGTGAGAAGCAAACATGAAATGATTTTCTTTTTCTCCAACTACTGCCTTCACAGTACTCTGTGGAAGCTGCTTTTCCTGTTCCTTAGAATATCACATTGGTTTTGGTCTTTTGGTGGGGATGGGGGTGGGGAGCGTATTAAAAACCCAATCCAGAGGTGCCTGGGTGGCTTTGTCAGTTACATGTTCACCTCTTGATTTTGGCTCAGTTCATGACCTCATGTTTGTGTGCTGACAGCACGGGGTCTGCTTGGGAGTCTCTCTCTCTCTTCCTCTGCCTCTCCCTGGCTTGAGCTCTCTCTCTCAAAATAAGTAAATAAACTTAAGAAAAAAAACCAGTTGATCCCAGTCCAGTATTTTTTTTAAATTTCAGCTTTATTTGAGGCATTATTGACATAGAAGATTGTAAGATATCTAAAGCATATATCATGGTGATTTGATACACATTTACATTGTGAAAGAATTCCTCTCATCTAGTTAATTAACACACCTATCACTGCACATATTTATATTTGGGAGTGGGGGATGGGGTGAGAACATTTAAGATCTACTCTCTTAGCAAATTTCAAGTATACAGTACAGTGTTCTCCACTGTAGTCACCGTGTTTCACCTCATATTCTCAGACCTTCTTCATCTTATAGCTGAAAGTTTGTATCCTTTTTGGGGTACCTGGGTGGCTCAGTCAGTTAAGCATCCTACTTCGGCTCAGGTCGTGATCTCACAGTTCATGAGTTTGAACCCCGCATCAGGGTCTGTGCTGACAGCTCAGAGCCTGGAGCCTGATTTGCTTTCTGTGTTTGCCTCTCTTCCACTCACTGCCTCTCTCTCTCTCTCTCTCAAAAACAAACATAAAAAAAGAAAGTTTGTACCCTTTTATCAACCCCTCTCTATTTCCCCACCTCCCAGCCTCTGGCAACCACTTTCCTACTCTGTTTCTAGGAGTTTGACCTTTTTTAAAGATTCCACATATAAGTGATACCATGCAGTATTTGTCTTTTTCTTTTTCTTTTTTTTCAAAAAAGCATGGTTGTTTTTTTTAAAGTTTATCTATTTTTTTTGGAGGGGGGGATTTTTTTTTTCTTTTTTACAAATAGTTTATTGTCAAATTAGTTTCCACATAACACTCAGTGCTCATCCCCACAAGTGTCCTCCTCCATGCCCATCCCCCCTCCCCCCCACATCCATCAGTCCTCAG